TTGGCATAGGGTTCGAACAATAAAAGCTCCAGTGTATAAATAATCAAGGGGTTTCATGGGACCAGGAATAACGGTTCGTCAGCTGAAACCGTTTACTTCAGTGGCGCGAGGTGACAAACGATTGAAAGAAGCGGTAGTCGTGAATATAAAAGTGTTATTAGGAAGTGTGGAAAGGATGTGATTCTGACCGATTTGGTCTCTTGTGCTTTATCGGTTATGAGGGCCAATGTTATTTTCTGGCCGCCAACAACATGGTAGGGTTCTGCTTGTCAGAAGTGGCACTGGCTTCATGACTTCCGAAGGAACTCGGGTTTCATGAATTGACGTCATGAATCTTCTAAATTACGACATTCTAACTCGTAGAGCTGAGTTTTTATGGTTCGAATTATTAACTCTTGTTAGCGCTTTTTTAGCGAGTTAGTTTTTTTTGCGGGATTGGGTTGGCAACCCCAAGCCCAACCCTCCTGCTATTGCCGGTCTTGATACGGGCAATAGACACTGAGGGTCTACAGACGGAGTTTACTTTTAACAAGTAAACGTGCAAAGCAGTCCAGCTGAGACATGCTTCGCTTCATGTTTAAAACCTAGGTAACTCTCATGTATGTCACATTTCGAAATAGATCTAGGAGCCTTGACACCCTCTTATCTAAAGTATTACGCTAACTGTAGGAAAGACGATTATCGAGCAATTCTTACAAAGGTCACACAAAGCTCGTCGTTGGTATGTTTGAGAGTACAACTGCCTAACCACTCTTTACCAGCTTCGTTCGACCCTATTAGTATTATGGTAATACTATGTTTCTTGACTCACTCTTAAAGGATAAGCTGAGCCACGAAATCAGTTAGAGGACAGAAGTACAAGCCTTATGAAGAGTGCCTCAAATCACTTTATTTTTACACGTCATAATAAAGGCCTATCAGGGGCGACCTCCTATTGGCTTACAGAATTCCAAGAACAACTAAGCATTATCTAAAATACTAATTTAAGGTCGTTCTAAACACAACCATAAAGAGTAATATCTTCAAGAGCGACTGGGACTTGATGATTTGCTCGTACCAGATCGATCTTAGAATATATAGTCGTACTCATGAGTGATGCCGTGTATGTGGGGGATGGGACAGCTATCGAAACATGTTAGTATGTTTAATGCTCAGTAGTCGCCACATGATCGTCAACTTATCCCGTCCTTTTAGCGATCCATATGGAGTGGTGAGGCCCAAGGACTATGAGACGGACGAATAATACCTGTAGCTAGTAAATTATCAAACACGTTTAGCGAAAGCTAATTTGTCCGGTGCCAGTCGGCGGAGTCGTGCCGTGACTGGTGGTCCTCAGGTGATGATGTGGTGTACCACATGATGAGTTACCGATAGATTCTCCTCGATTGGTTTGGTAAGCTGGGGAAATTTTTCGAGTAAAGCGTTGAAAAAGTCATCACACGAATGAAATACCCCTGTAATACAGTAAGCTCGTTTGAAAATTCGACAACGGCAGTTGCCACAGAGGTGCACCGGGCGGTGAGACAAACAGCTAAGTGCCTCTATAGCAACGTACGTGGACTAAGGGGTAAGCGGCTTGAATTCAGGAATATATTCTCTCAGATGGATCTGAAGATCATATTCCTAACCGAAACATGGATACCCCCTGACATTGCAGACGACGATGTGAGATTGAAAGGCATGGCACTCTTCCGAAGTGATAGGGTACACCAAACAGGATGTGCAGTGGCAATGCATATAAACAGCCACTTAAAAGCCGAGCGGCTATCCGACAGCCAGCTAACTGAGGTGACAGAATCATGTTGGTTTTTTCACATAAATGGCACGAAATACTTGATTGGAGGGATTTACCGACCTCCCTCAGGTACTAAGGCCCAGAAAGACATACTGACTAAGGCAGTACTGAAACTGCCACTCCTTGGGTTTGATCAAATGCTCTAAGCTAGAGATTACAACACAACATCTCTAAATCTCAGCAATCAGGGTACAACTGTAGTGAAATACGTTTATGAAGAGAACCCGATGCGTTTAACTGAAACTATCATTATTATAACTAATTGTACCGGTGATTGTTTGACTGTACTTTTTGTTTATAACACTCTCGTTACACGCAAACTTTCTGTTTTTGTTGCTGCCACTCTTTGCTTCAATAGATTTGTAATTTCGCCCATATTTTCTGGTCTCATTTCGGTGTTCTTTCGACACCATGAAATTGCCAGCAAATATATCATTTACCGAAGTCCGAAGTGATAGGAGACTCTTTCAGATGAAGCTAGCAGTCAAAATACAGGCAAACCCTAAGCATCTATTTGAGTTCATGGCAAAAAGAAACCTACGACTCAGGGTGTGTGTTCCCTCATAGGTCAAAATAGCGACCCAGAGATCTCTGAGATCTTCAACACAAACTTAACCAATCAGTTAAACTAAGCATCCACATGTTCATAGCACTACGCGAACCCAGTGCCAACCGACGGCTTAGGGAATATCAGTATTACTCCCGACTTAGTACTAAAGAAACTAAAATCCTTGCACCCTGGAAAATTACCAGGTTGTCACAATATTCGCCCCATGGTCTTGAAACAATGTGCAGAAGTCCTCTGTTCACCGATATGTAACCTGTTCAGGCATTCGTTGTAGTCACACCAACTCCCAGTTGAATGGAAACAAGCTACTTTCTCTCTCCAATCTTCAAAGGAGGATATAAGAAGGACAGCCTGTTAAAGACCAGTCTCATTACTACCAATACTATCAGAGGTAATGGAAGGACTGGTGAACGAACAAATGAGGGAGTGCGGGAAGGCAGGTCGTGCACATCTAATCTTCTCATAGCATGGGACAGTTGAACATCCTGCTTGGACCGAAAAACACCGGTGCACGTAGTATTTCCGGACTTCGCGGAAGCATTTGACACAGTACCCCCACGCACGCCTAATCACAAAGGTTGCGGAAATGGGCTTCACTGACCCACTCCTAGCTCGGATCAGAAACTACCTTGAGAAAAGAAAGCTTCAGACCAAGGTAAATAGAGTTCACGCGTGTTGGCGAGTCTCAACATCTGGTGTTTCACAAGGGACCATCTTGGGTACACTTCCTTCCTGACAATCATTGACTACCTATTAGACACAGTTATCTCTCCGGCATTGATCTGCAAATCTATTAAAAGCGAAGAGGATTCGACTGAGGTTCAAAAAGACCTTCTATCCATCGAGGACTGGGCAGTGAAAAACGGTTAAAAACTAAACAAGCCGAAATGACGCGTCACATACATTCTACCCCACATGACGCAAACGATCTACACCACCTACGAATGTCCGCTCCCCAATGTCTCCTCAGAGCGCGATCTTGGTTTTATCACCACTGACATCTAGCCGATGCATCACCACCACGCTGCTCAAGGTGATTATCCAAAGACTGTGCATCAAAAAGCAAACACTCAGGCACATCAGTACTTCTCACTAAGTCGTTGCAACTGGGATTGCTCTCTCACCTGAGGTGACCACAGCCTCTCACTGGACAGCTTTAAGAAGCTATTTGATAAACACGTACTCACATCCCGATAATCATACTTTTCATGGACCAGGTGTGGCTGATGCATGTCTTGAGACCTGATGGATGTTACCATTGCCATCTCCTAAGATCACTTACTTAACCTATCTCGACTATTATCTCTATTTCCTCTCCCCTGCTTACACTTCTGTCCTCAATCACTATCTTCACTACCAATTAAAAAACTAAATTATCCATTCATTTACTTAGTTCTGAAGTCTTATTCTCAGCATTAGACTTTATTATTATTCTACACATTGCAACTAACTGATCCCCGGTCCAGTAATGTGATGGCTGCTGGTATCCAGAAATCCTACTGCCCTGAAACCAACGTATCCATTCAAACCATGGGACATACAAACTACTGTCAACTGACTAGAATTAGACAGTCGAGTGGCTAGATCCAATCCATTGGACACTAGCAAACACCTGGAACCATACCGAAAGGACAAGAATCGAGCGCAAAGAAAACAAATGGTTTGCGCTAGCTTGTGAAAAAGATATTGGATATATATCGGAAGATGCAGCTACGTCAGGTATCCTAAGTTTCATTTAACCGGAACGCTTTTTACCAGTGGTTATTACGTTTTCTTTCATTATGACTATTTAAACGAGTTCGACTAAGATAAACTTGGACCAGTCTACTCCTACAACAAGCAATCAAACGACAGAGTAAGTATTGTGAGAACTTTTTCTCAATTCTGATAGCCTGTTGAAAGTGTGCTACCCTGCAAAAGACTGTTGCAGCGATCTCAAACTTCACTGCAGATGTTAAACAACTGCTTGTTTTTCATAACATAGCATTTCAGCCAACATCTCACAGTACCTTTAGTCAATCAGAATATCTATTTCCTCTGTCAACGGAGGAAGAGTTGGAAACCCTAGGAACCCATCTTTGACACGAGGATGTCAAAGGTATATTCTTAAGTTGACCTGTTCATTAGATAAGTCATTCTTCTTTCAGATGCCAAACATGAACAATTAAATGGGCGACAACTCGAAGTCACTTCAGATATACATACAAACATACATTCTCAGTCCGGAATAGTCCTTTAACTTCACTTTACTGGAAACATTAAATCAAAAGTACTTCGACAAACTTCCATTCTACAGAAGCATAAGTAACAGAACACTGCATAATTAATATCTTCTGAGTGCCTTTGTATCAACAACTTTTTTAAGTGCACTAGAAAATACGGAAATGAAATCAAGTTCCACCTAAATACGGGATCTAATTCAATAGCATGCTTTACTTAGGCCTTTGTAGAATGATAGTAATTGTGAACTTATAACTGAAGAACTTGATGATGAAGATATGAAAAACCATTTTCCGCTCCAATGTCTTTTGTTTTTGAAAATTCTATGCAGATTCTTAAACTACTATTACAGAATAATGGACTGCGTACAGTTTATAGTCTGTTTATGGTTTTCATAATCTTACATGTATTTCCATAGAAAGCAGTGTTATAACTGAAAATAATGTATTTTTTTTGGAACATTAATTCAGAATAAATAATTTTTATCTAAGCAGTGACACTTATATCCACATAATGGAAAAAGAAATTAGAATTTCCTGAAGACAATGTCTCCTCATAGCAAATAAAAAAAAGATAAAAATACCTAAAGGTTATCACAGACAGAAAAAAAAAAGAATAAAAATATGTAAGAAACAAATCACCAAAAGCAGAATTAAGTGATTGTTCCAACAACAAAAAAAAACAACCAATAATCAAATTGCTTTTTGATTGATGCTAAGGCATTTCGACCATTGCTTTTAGAAAATAAAGGCAAAAACTTAATATCAAAATACTGAAATTAAACAGATAACTTATGCCTGAAATTTGACTCCGATATGAACTTTTGAGTATCAAAGCCATTGTGTTTATCTTTACTATTAGTAGTAGTAGTAGTAGTAGTGCTATGATCATTTGAAGGTGGATAAGATGAATACAAAATAGTAGCAATAACTACTAAAATAGCACCAATATAAAATGAAAGTGTCGGATTAAAATTAAACCAAAATATTGACAAAATAAAAGTAAGTACAATAGCCAATGATGAGGCAAATCCTTTACGTATATTATCAGCATAACGAATAGTTGCTGCGATTAGTAAACCACCTAATGACTGAATTAATATTGCTGCCCATACAACAGAATCGTAACCGAAGAAAAAATGTTTCCTAGCAATTTCTTTACCATCTTTCAAATAGACTGTTATGATACCGGTGGTAACACCATAGAATGCCAATTGTATATTACGTATAGCTACACTTTTATGACTACTTTTTAATAATTTTTCAAAGAAAACACCAGCAAAACCGGAACAACTACAAGCTAATACAACAGAAGAAAGACCGACAAATAGGTTTTGATTGTTCTCCGTTGTACTTGCAGTTTTCCCAGCACTGGAATTGACAACATCATTGAGCTGTGTTAATACAACACCAGTGAATAGAACACATAAAGAACACCATTGTATTCGGCTTAAGTGTTTCGATAAGATTATTCTAAAGAAGATTGCTGTTGTGAAAATCTTCAATTGATATGATATCTAGAAAAAACAATCAAAACAATGCACAAGAAAGTATAAAATTTGACAGAGTTATGGATGAATTTTACAAAATACAATTACTTGATGCCAATTGCGAAATAATCATGTTATTGAATATCTAAAATGTGGACTTTACACGCAAAAATTACATTTACTTGTTACATATATCCCATGATTTAATCAAAATAAACTGGAAAGGGCTTGTGAAACAAATTCATCAATTAACTTATGGTGTGGTGCGAGCTACTTATAAGTAGTATATGACGTGAGCGTCAACGTAATGTCCGGCAGCAGAAGATGGGGGAAGATCAAGAAAGGAAGAGTTAGAACACAATGGAATTTGTATGAAACGTATGAACAGTGAGTGACAATGGATTGATGTTTTGCAACAGGAACAGTCCAGTTCCATAGGATGAACTGATATTTTGCAAATTAACGATTTACGATATGGTTTTCCAATTTTACTGAGTAACTCTGTAATTTTCGTTAAGTGCGATTCGGTTGCCCCACCTGTGTTTTCGTTCACTACAATGGTACTAAAAAAAGTACGCATAACACAGTTTATTTCCTATTTATATTCTTTTTGAGGTAACCTTAGCTATGTACTTGACTTGTTAGAGATGAAATTTCTAGATAGACTTACATTAAATTGGATTACGCTGATGATGCGCTAGTAAGGATACTAATAAAAGAGTCTTTGAAACATGCATTTTTTTCTACCTCAAATGTAAAATATTGAACCATAATTGGCTTCAGTCATTATCTAGCCCGAACAAACACAGTAAAACAGTATAATTTGTCAACCAACAGCCTGATGGGCTGTTTGTGACTGACATTCACCTTATAGAAATGAAAAACAAAACTGGACGCATTGATTTGCGTGCAGAAATTCTAGTGTTTCCTGCATCATAGGACTCTATTATTCTTCAAGACAATAAAAACGTGGTTTCTGAAGAAACCATTTACTGATGATGAGCACAAATACATATCACTGAAAGAATGCCAAATCTATTGGTGATGCTATGAATATTTACGGCCTGAAATGTCAAGATATTCATCCTTAACCATCACTTATCTATCTGAAGAAAGACAGAGTATTAGTTATGGCAAATTGACCCATGAGATAGTGATATGGCTGAGATATGTATCACATAAACCTCAAAGCTAAATAAATGATGACTGTTGTAGCCTGGAAGAGAGCTTAATGCGACCCAATCAAAATGTGGCATTAGTCCATGAAGACAATGATTATTCGACTAAGCTATTTTAACAAATGAAGACTACTTGTTTTAGGTTCGCATAATTATCGTGAGCAAAGGTTAGAGACTTTGAACGATACGGCTTTAAGTCGTTTGCAATTATTCAGATGAATTCGCTCTTCGTCCTCCCATAGATCCTAGGTTTTTAAAAAAAAATCATAATTGTACCTTCAAAGCCTAATCTTTTCTATTACCGGTAACACTGTTACTACCTCTACTGCTTAAGATTTCGCCTGATAATTTGGCTTTGTTGTGCTAATGGATTCTGGAAAGTTGATTAATGTACACGTGTCAGGTTCTACGTTACCTCTGACTGATTCACTGCTGGTCTTTTATGCTACTGAATAGAATCTAAACTTAATCATGAAGATATGAAGATAAATTTTTAACTATCAATAATTGCGGGTTAACTTGTCTTACTATTTGGATTATTAACAGAATATGAGACTCCAAGACGTATTGTGATTTTATTTTGTGGATGAATTTATTTGTAACAGAAAAAGTGGGTAAATGAAATTTGAAAAGCTAACTAGGGAATAAGGATAATGTTGGTAAGAGGATCATGGTTGATAGCATATGCTCTACGAAGGGTAATAGGCGTAAGCAACTGAAAAACAAAAACTTTGAAATAGCTATAACATAAAAACATGAGAGGAAATATAGATGGTTTTCCCAACAACTAAATGATAGCCACTGGGAACTTTGAAAAGAAACTAACCTGAAAAGAGACAGCATCTAAATTTGAGTAACCAACAAATAGTAGGTTATTTTGAATTGTGTAAATCATTCCCGGGATGGATACCAGAAGACAATCCTTTGGATCTTTTATTATATTGTCCCGCAAACTGTGTATAAATGAAGCAACGGAACATTTCTCTTCGAAAAAAACTAGTAGAAAACAGACTAAAAGTTTCACTAATTCACTCATCACCACTGCTGTTGAAGGAAAATACAAATCTCCTTCTCTAGCACGAGAATATCGAGTCACGAGGACAACGGCAGCATTTTGCAAAACCAGAAATATTAAAGCAACACGTCCAAGGAACAAATCACCTATGAAAAATGAAAGTAAAATCTTCATCTTACTTTGTAGGAATTTACACCTATCTATCCACGACACCATTTGTCTAAGCGATTGAGAAGTGAAAACAATGGAATTATTCCAGCCAAAAGATGAATAACCTGAAGGAGTCAAAGATGGAGAACATATGCATATGTAAATACCAAATATTTATTATGTAAAGAGCGAAAACAAAAGTATCATAACTATCACTAACATTTTTTTCATTTAACTGAACCATTTATCTGGCTTTTGTCTCACCAAGGAGTCAGTCAGATGAACGTAGA